GTTAGATTGGCTGACCTTTTAGATCTTGCTCTCGCTTCTTGAAGATGATTCAGACAAGCAGATTAAAAACTGCTGAGTTCACCAAAAAAACACGTTGATTTCCATTCTACCCGCTCCAAGGCTAAGCACTCAAAGGTGTTATGTTACATAAAATTGTTGGCATTAAATAATCCTTTGAGGTCGATATGCCATAAAACAAAACAAACCTAACTAAAATTTGTACGGTGTAGCTTCGGCGCATTTGAGAACCAAAATTACCAACATTTCAATATTGTATCCGCCATTATGATTTCTAAAAGAAAAAGGTACCGCTAGAGAGTTTTGATGATGATGATGATAGTAATAATAATAGACTTGTTAAAGGAATCCGTGGTAGCCCATTACTTAAAGAAATACAAAAAAATGTACTCACAAATACAGCCTACACCTTATGAAGGGCTTTATCTATGTAAAATATGTGCGTTTTTTTTTCCAAAACTGCTTAATGGAAAATGTCATAATGCCATATCTGACCTTAGGTCTCTGGTCGGGACCCGGAAAGAAATGAGTACATATCAGAAATCAAAGGAAATAAAACAACAATAATGATGAGATTGCAAGACAGAGAGACCAATGTATGAACGGACAGACGGGGGTGCAGATGGATAGGCAGGCAGAGGAAAGGATGTATAGACCGAGACACAGACAGACGGACTGGGAAACGGGCGGACGAATTAACAGACAGACACGGGGACGGTAGGATAAGCAGACAGACAGATAGATGAATGGACCGAGAGATAGACAGATACACAGATTGATGGACAGACTGACAAATTGATGGATAGACGAATAGACACGCGGATTGATGAACAGTTTTCTCTTTTAAGTATAAAGATAAAATATCCAACTCTTTATGTGGAATACAAAAGTTCTCTGTATAAACGAAGGTACACTTTTTATCTGTATTTGTTAGATATTTGAGAATTACACACACGTGTGTGTGAGAGAGTGAGCGCATGTGTGTGTGTGCGCGCGCGCACGCGTGTAAGGCGTACATACGTCTATCGTAAGTTTCTTTAGAATTTTCAAAGTCCTTTGATAGGACTAAATAAAATCGGGGGCTGTTCTTACGCTCGTTTCCTTTCCAATTACTCGTTTCAGTTTGAACGCCTCTGAAACAACTTTTGGTCCTCGTAAATGAAAGACTTCTTGTCATAAAAACCTGAATAATATTTCGGAGGGGAAAAAATCTTATGACAGACCTCCTCCACATCACCAACCACAACCATCATCTCCCAGGCGCCCGGCCCAAACCACTCCGGCATAACTTCAGAAATTAATTTTAGTGGCAATTTCAATGTAACCAATGTAACATTTTATTACGATGATTCTTATAAAAGCTAACCTGGAGCCTAACAACTGAATCGAAACGAAATACGAAGTTTATTTTTTATTTCCTCTCCGTTTAACTTATCATTAAAAGAAAAAAGCCGGGATCTAGGCGTGTCTGTCCTTTTTTCTTCTTCTATCTTATTTGCAGCCTTGGAGCCAGTGACTCTGAACATATCATTGATTTTTCGTTTAAACATACTTTTTAGTACCTCGACTTAACAAATTTAAACGCAGTACGACGGTGTTAAAAGTAACTCCCTGTTTTATGTATGTGTGGCCAGCCGAGAGTTCTGATTTTGATTTGTGACTTTTTTCTTTGTGGTTGGTTAAAGGAACAACTCTATTATACCAAACCAAGACTTTGGAAGAACTTGAAGGACGAATACAAGTTATGTCTTCCATACCACAAGAGTTCCTGGTGAACGAAGTTCACTCGATTCCTGGGCGTCTCGAGAAGCTGGTAGCGAAATCTGGTGCCCATATCGAATTTTAAATAAAACCTCATGCTAAACACTTTCTTCTCATCCATTTCTAGTAAAAATTATAGTTAGTAAATAAATTATAAGTATCTTAATATCGCGTGGGGTACTTTTCAATCAGTCTGTAGATTGGCTGCTACGCTTCATCATTTCATCAAGTGGAAACATAAGTTCTATGCTAATGGCTTTTTTTTTTATTATTTAATTATTTCACCCCAAGAAAGTGAGAATGCCACTAAGACGTAGAGAGTTACTGAGTTTAAAAGAATCTGTGATAATAAAAAAAAAATATTAAGAAGAGAAGATAATAAACGAAAAGGAATTAAGGAAACAGAAAAAGAAGATTGACATTGCATTTAAATTTTGGAAGATCTTAATTGATAGGAAAATAGGAAGGGACTTTCACAAACGAGAAGTGGGAGAGAACATTACAGTTGAAATTGCAAAGTTCTATGATAACTGTTTCTTCTCGCACATTTTCGCTTGTTGAGCTCTTATCCGACTTCTTGCTTTCCAATCAACTTTGATCTTCACGTCAACTTTGATCTTCAGGTCAAATTTGAGATTCACTTTGAGCTTCACGTCAACTTTGAGATTCACTTTGACATTGCATTTAAATTTTGGAAGATCATAGTGAATCTCAAAGTTGACGTGAAGATCAAAGTGAAGCTCAAAGTTGACGTGAAGCTCAAATTGAAGATCAAAGTTGATGTGAAGCTCAAAGTGATGCTCAAAGGTGATGTTAAGCTCAAAGGTGATGTGAAGATCAAAGTTGATTGGAAAGCAAGAAGTCGGAAAAGAGTTCCAAAGCGAAAATGTGTGAGAAGAAACATTTAGCGTAGAACTTTGCAATTTCAACTGTAAAGTTCTCTCACACTTCTCGTTTGTGAAAGCCCCTTCCTATTTTCCTACAAAAATTACAAAAAGGAAATAATTCTGAACCACTTCCTTTGACTCACTAATCTTCCCTATTAATTTAATATCTTAATATTTGCTAATCAGTTTTGTTTTGTTTTGTTTTTTCCAACCTATCAATACAGGCGTATTTTTTTTCGCGTATGTTTTCCTACTTATTCAGTAAATATTCTTTTTTTCCTTAATCTGGTGGTAACATTTTCAATGTTTTAAAAAAAAGTTTGCATGATGTTTAGAGGTCTGAAATTTTTTGTAACAATTAAGAGAAAGAAATGATAGAAAGCAATCTGTTAACTATCAATTCAATAACTGTTAATTTCCACCATGTCATATTTTTTTGTTTTGTCTGTAGCCATTTTGATTATGTCGTTATTTTAATAAATTTTCTTAAATTACGAGTAATTAAAAATGATCTCAACGGAAGTAATTAAATATTTTATGACATTAAATAAGAAAATAATTAAAAAGTAAAAGTAACAAATTAAACCTAAAAGTGTTATTTCACTAACTTTTAATCCATTTCTTTTTTATACTAATACTGTAGTATAAAAATAAAATTACTTCTAAGTTTCATATAAGAGTGTAGAATAAATTTAAAAATTCTTAAATTATTGGTTAGTTAATGTTAATGATAATTTATTTTTAACCATAAATACCAATTTCTTCATTATTGCACTGTTCGTGTTCCATATTTCGTTATTTTTTTTAAAGATTGTGCGCTTTTTAAGAGTCGGTGATGGCAACAGCAAACTACTGTTGTTGATCTATAACCTTGATGGCAGCACACAGGATAACATACGTAAATAAATGTAATTTTGATTACGTCATAAGCAAAAAAGTTAGTATTAATTTCACAAAACTCGGCTAATTAATCCTTAAATTTACTAATTTATTTTGAAACACTGACAGACAATGAGACTGACGGCAAAAAGAAAGAGGTTCATGCATTATTCAAGTATTATGAATGTAAAGAAACCCAGTCTGCCTAGAAATATTTTCATGGTTTTATTTTTTATTAGCTGGATCTTTTTCAATTATTATTCATATTTGACTTGTTTTCATTCATCTTAATTTCAGTTGCTTTTTAACGCAACTGCACAGATTGTTATTCTACAAGTAGTAATGCAAACAAGGAGGAAGCTTATACTTAACATGAGGAAGAGGCAGCTGAAATTTCTGGGACACATAATGAGAAAGGAAGACCTGGAGAATCTGATACTCACAGGTCAAATAGAGGGGAAAAGAAACAAAGGAAACCAACGCATGATATAGCTGGTGGGCTTCAGCAAGTCGATAACAGAACGTGGTCTGGGGGAGGTGGCAGAAGGACGAAACTTATTGAGAGATACAACGGATAGGGAGAAGTGGAGAGCCATGATCGCCTACATCCTGAATTTTCCGTCCTCTTTTATACCCTTTATAGACAGTTGCATTTCTGCAGTTCTTTGATTTTAATATCTCCAATTCGTCGCCTTATCTTGGGCTGTTCCTCTTACTGATGATCATATATTCTACTTACAACTGATAGTTAGTCCTTTCTTCTTGCTTTCTTTTACTCCCTACTCTAAGTGTTCATGCACTTTTCTTTCTGTATCTGCCATCAACAAGTCTGCTTATGTTGTTAAGAGTGTGTCCGCCAATAATAAAAATTCTGGTAGAACTTTTAGTTCTCTTAAGCGAATGTTGGATGGTCTGAAAGATGAAGAAGACTTGAGACGGCGAAGGCATGGTTCTACAGAAGGATGCTAAGGATATCATTGATCGAGCTTGTGAGCAACTATGAGGTTTGGAGAGGATGTAAACAAGGAGAAAGTTTATAAGTTTTTGAAGAGGCAGATGAAATATCTGGGACAGGTAATGAGAAAGAATCTTGGAGAATCTGATACTCACAAGTCGAAAAGAGGGAAAGCGAGACAGGGGAAAGCAACGCGTGACATACCTGACAGGCTTAAGTAAGTGGATAACAGAACAGGCCTGGGGAATGTAGCAAACGAACAAAACTTATTGAGAGCTATAATGGATAGGGGGAAGTGGAGAGAGCCATGTTCGCCTACACCCTGACGGGACACAACACATAAAAAGAAAAGAAGTTCGCCTATTTATAAGAGTTAAATGAATCCGGAGATAAAAAGCATCCTAATCTTGAGCCCCTTTCAATTTGTTTGCTTAATTCATATTTTATCCGTATGCAGGCTGATTGGTCCTAGTAAATGTCCCGGATTAACGTTATTTGATATAATTAAATGTTCTCGTTAATATTCCCTAAGGGTACTTTTTATCTTTTCAAAGTTTTAAAACTTTCGCTCACTGCAGTTCTTAGAAACAAATGTTGCAAATAAAGTCTGTCAACAAGGCTATTCACAACCAATCATTTAAGGCTTTAAATATTTTAAGTTGTGACACAGGGCTGAGCTTTAGTAATGAGGTTATTATATCGCGAGTTGCTGCTGCAGGACGAAGTGCTAAATGCATTACTTCCAAATGTTTATATATTTGGAGTTTAATTTGAAAAACAAATTGTAGTTGAAATATTCTAGATATGAAAACATATTTGTAAGAAGACTAAAAATTCCATCCTAAATATTCACGTGTAAATAAAAAGCATACTTTTCTCTTGAGTCCATCTTCCGGCTCCTCACCCTCCCAATTTGAAACATTAACTATTTGACAGCATATAAGATACACGGGTGTATAAGACGCACCCCAATTTCAGCAGGGAAAATCAAGAAAAAATTAGTAATTAGTAAAATTAGTAGTAAATGGTACAGCCTAGGCTATATTTATGAGGTATTTTGGTTAAACAAGCCATGATTATAATTAAACGAAAAAAAAATAGGAAAAAAGGAAAACGAGCCTATAAAAACTTTTATTATATCGAAAGGTAAGAAAACAAAATAAAAATCAAGCAATTATTACAATTGAGCAAAACAGTACAGTTATCATTAAAATTTTATTCATTTTCAAATCCATAAAATTCATTGTCTTCGTTATCAAAACTAATATATTTTAGATAATATTATTATGGTCCAGGTTAGGACCAAGGAAGAACAACACGAACACAAGAGTAGAAATAACGAAGGTATATTACACGAAATAATAATACAAGATGTGGAAGGTGTTAGTATGACTGTCAGTCTGGTTTGGAGTGAACTACTATCGGATCGACTCTATTCAATATGTAGCCACCCCCCCACGAGGGTTACATATGGCACAAGGCCGAGTTTAACGTGGGTTTCCCGAGCCCGTAGGCTCGACCAAAAAATGCCCGTATAACCCGTATAAACGAGATCGGGTTGGGTCATTCTCCCCGAACGAGATTCTGCCCTTCGGCGGAACCTCGTCCGGGTTCCTTTCTGCTCAGAGGCAGAAAGTTCGACCGTCAAGTCGAGAAGCTCGGCTTGATTCGGTATCTAGCCCCCCGCCACGAGGGTTGCATGTGGCACTAGGCCGAGTTTATCGTGGGTTTCCCGAGCCCGTAGGCTCAGCTAAAAAATGCCCGTATAAACGAGATCGGGTTGGTCATTCCTCCCCGAACGAGA